GAAAACTCTAAATGAATAAAGGGAAGGAGCAAAAGGACATGGATTGACGTAGTGAGCAAAAGGACATGGATAAGGCTCGAATAATGATGATGATAATCTATTTTTTGTTCTAGAACATGCTCATTTCGATTTTTGCTTACACTTATTTAAAAATGAACACATATAGTATGCTCTTGCAGAAGCATACTATACATTAACTCCTTTGGTTAAAAGAAATATTTTGGAATTTCCAATTTGAATTTTTCGAATCCAACTAGAGATGACTAGATGATTATTTTCAAACAAAATAACAAAGAATTTTGAGTTCTTCACTAACTAGATCTATTCTCCTAAAATTTGGTGTTCCCTATTCAATCTAGCAAAGTTATTTTTTCTTCAAGCTCATAGAACATGAGATTTGGAAAATTTTGGACGCTCATAAGGTCATCCTCGGGATCTGTGGTCGTAATTCCAAGTTTGAGATATATCTCATGGAGCAAATAGACATTATGCTCCCAAGGGAGTAGCATATCTTTTTGCTTTAAAAAATTGCAACATGGTACTTGCTTCTGCGTGTGCATTGCATGAGCCCTGGCCCTGGATTAGACCAAAAGTGTTGTCCTTACACCTCGCTAGGTTTTTCGGAATTTTTTCAGTTATGGTATTTAAACATTTTTATGTTATCATAACATGTGATTCTGATGAAAAAGATTCTTAAGATTATCTCAAAATCTATTTTCATATCTCATCATAAATTTAAAACTCCAAAAATAGTAAAAATCAAGTAGATCTATAAATATATGAATATCTTAAAAAAAGGACGGTCTAGATAATGTCTAGTAAAATGCATTAGTTTTTAGATTCAAAATCTTTTTTTTTGTTTTTTTCATATTCATACATCTCGATGTCTAGATGAGAGCTTTTTTATCATTAAAACGACCTTTTCTTATTGATGTTTTAGGTGCATCTGTAATTCTACATTTTCAGGTTGCAACATTATATAAACTTTTTCATTTTTTAAAATACTTAAATTTTCATACATTTATCAGGTCCTTCTACTCAAATTCCTCCTAATTTTGTAGGATAAGTTGTGATCAAGATTTCTATTTTTTTATTATTATTAAAAAAATTGCATGAGGTGGTACAAATTTTTAATTACAAATTTTTATATTGGAAAATTGTTTCATGCAGGCTGGGCCATTGACTATATATGCGGTCCAAAAAGTGTAAAGTGTCCATTTTAGATGCAAGTAGGTGTTCCATCTAAAAACAATAGAAACTATCGGTCTAAATGTTTTCTTACTAAAATTATTATTTTTAGTTTTTAAAATTTACTTATTTTTTCATATTCATGATCTCCATGTTAGAGATTACATGTCCTTAAAAACTAAGTCAAAAAATCCATCTCAAAAATAGATTTATTAATAGGCCACATTTCTATATATGCAGATTTGGTCGCAAAGAAACCGGTAGAATGAGAATCTCGATGGAAATAGATATCCTAGTGAGAGAATCCAGATGGAAAGAGAATCCATGGAAATAGATGTTCTAGAAAGAGAGTCCAGATAGAAATAGAGTTAATTGTTGATCATCATCCTCTTGGTCCTCCTATGTCGCTTGATTGGAGGGTCCTTAATCTCGGCTATATAATGGCATCAAAGTCTCTATGGCTTAACTTTCTTTTTATTTAAAAAAAGACATTTCTTGGTTTGAGCTTTGATTAATGAAGGTATGTTATAGACTGTATAAATCGGAAATAAAGGGTGATACTGAGTTGAAATTTTTAAATTCTTAATCAAGGAAAGTTAATAAAATAATAATAAATTTTAATAAAAAAATTTACGTGGTTCACCGCAAAAAGGTTACATCCATGGGCATGACAAGTAGAAATATATTATACCAATAAAAGTTATATCACAAATATTAGGACATAGAGTTACATATTTAATCATTGGGCATATAGAGTTACATCTTTAATCATCGACAAAACCTAGTCGAGTAATCGTTTTAGACCCACTCTCTTGAGTTGCATCACCACAGATCTCCTATATCTATTCAACAGCCAAACCATTGTCAAGAAAAGATACATCTTTGTTTTACAGCTAAACCATTATACAAGAAAAAAACTTTGAGAGCAATCGAGTATTTCTCTAATTAGAAAGAGAAACCACCTAAAATCTCTATAGTTCATAAACAAACATAATCGCTTCTCTACAAGAAACCGAACTCTCAGTCGAAAGAAGGCATTATTGTAAGGGCAATCTTTCTATGCTTCCCCTACAACATAAAACTTATTTACTTCTCCTTATCCAATCGTCTATTCTGAATGGAGGGCTAAGATTGCCCCAATCACAATGTCACATCTTTACATCATTTGATTTTTAATTTTTATTTTCTATAAACTATTTTGATACCAAATTTTATATGTCCAATCCTCTATTAAACTCGCACTATTGAAAATATATATATAAAAAAATTTAATAAATAAATGACCAAAATAGCCCTAAAATTTTTAAGGGGTATTTTGGTCATTATATTTTATCTAAAATTTATTTTTAATATTTTTTATAGGTGACCCAATGACAAGATGGTACGTACCAAATTTCATATCCATACAATTTGTATAAAAATAAATGAAAATAAAATATTTTGAGAAGTCGGATCTAAGATCAAACGGTGAATGGCTCTCTTGATCAAAATTAGACGGCTGGATGGTAGAAGCATAGATCTTTTATGTTGTAGGGGAAGTATATAAACCTTTCCCTTATTTGTAATGGCTCTGTCCATAGGAAGCTCTCGTCACTATGAAAGGAGGCATTTCCTCTCATGCACAAGAGGTCTTGACTCTCTGTCTTTAGAGGAAGCTAATCAAAATACGGCACATATATTATTTCTTCATAAGTAAGGCACCTATATTATTTCTTCTATTGTTTTATAGGAAACTTCTCATGGATGTTGTATAGATCTCAAAAATCAAGACATATAACCAATGGGCTAATCTTTTTGGATTTCCAATTTTTTTTAGAGAACTTATCAATATCGATATTGATTTAAATATCATCACAATTCCATATAATATGATATTTCATTATTTTAGGTGATTTTGGATAACACAATACCCAAACAGTTTTATCCTCTTTTTGGATATCTATCTTTTTTAATTGTGAATTGAATAGAAAAGAGCACTTTCAAGTTTGACCAAAAAAAAGACAGTTGAATAGTCGAGATTGAGAATTGGAAGTTTCAAATTCATAGAGTTATAATTTATTTGCTAACTGCATTTCATAGATTAGGACGTGGCGCTTTCTAAGAAAGTACACACGTCTTATATTTGCTCATCTCATCATAAATTATAGGAAATACATCTCCGTATAAATCAGTTTCCGAGGCTAAAAATACATCATGCAGTACAAAAATGTAAAAGAAAAGAAAGATGGGTGCAGTTTGCATGGAGCCGAGGCTCTAAACAATCAAAGTAAAGTGCACCCTCGAATAATGTGGAGAAATGTGGTTTTAATACTGGAAATATTTGTGATAGCCTTAAAATATATTTTCATATTTAATTATAAAATTTAAAGCTTAAAAAATAGTGAAGATGGAGAAGATCTATGAAAATCTTAAAAATTGACCGTCTAAAAATACGTTCCAAGATGCAATATTTCCAAAACTTGAAATCGATTTTTTTATCATGTCCATGCATCTTGAGATCCAGATGATCAATTTGAGGATTTTTTAGCATCAAAACAACCTCTTGTAGTGAAAATTTTGATATAGGCTCTAATTTGATTATTTAGAGCCTCGGTTCTATATAAACTTTTTCCAAGATAAAAAAAAGGATATAAAAAGCAAAAGGAAATTAAAAATTGCAAGGGATGGGTTGTTGATATGTGGACCATCTTCTTTCTCTTTTCCAGAAGGTCAACATTCACATGCTTCGCCCCCAAGCATCTCTCTCCCAAACTGTCTATAAAAACGTGTCATTTCATAGGTGGTGAGAGTCACTTTCCTCATAACATCTGAAAAATAAAAGGAGGTTTTTATTGTTTTTCCAATTATATAGGCAGCAAAGGCAATCAATCTAACGGTTAGTGTCAGTTTTTTTTCTGCAAATTGTTTTTTTTTTGCTATGCTGAATGTGGTTTATTTCTTTTCATATATAATTATGTACGGAAAGACATTTGTTTAAGTACTTTCCATTAAAAGCAATTGTTTGCTGTTTCTCTTATTGGCATACTCACTTATTTTTCTCGATCTACATTAAAGAGATCATTTCACAATTATTTTTATTTTTTAAATTTTAAAATGGGTGGTTGTCGGAGTGTGATCGAATAGACACAAATTTTCAAAATAAAAAAAAAGAATTTCTCGGATTTCATGACTCACCCCAAGCCTTTCAATTTGACATCTAATGGGTGGGAAATGATTGTGGCCATTTATGTATGAAAGATAAATGGTGGAGAATCCCATTTAGGATTAAATACCACTTTTTTTTCGATAAAAAAAAATTTATAAGCAATTCAATGAGAATTACCGCTTTTTTTAAAGTGTTGGCTGTAAGAATAAAAGCATCGAAGTGGTGACCGGGTGTGGGGTGTTCAGGATCATTGACTTAAAACATGGCGACCAGGTGTGGTGTGTTAGGTTCACGACTTGGGCCTTTTCCCATAGGGTAAGATGGTGGGGATTTAGGGTAAATGGAGTTAATCATTGCGCTCGATAGTGCTACCGCACATGCCCCGTCATGGGCGTTAGCTGCGCATTCAAAATGGTTTGCTATGCGTTTATAGAATTTTTGTCATCTACGCTACCAGGAGACTGCATTGCATTCTTTTTTTTCTCTTTTACGTTATTTTCCGGCGATCACGCATGGCTTGATCACCGGTAAAAAGGAGGTGGCGTAAGCAATTCCCGGCGATCACGCAGGCGTTGATCGCCGGTAAAAGGAGGTGGCGTAACAGGTGGCGTAAATACAAATAAAAGGAGTTCCCGTTGATGTGGTTTTCCATTTTTGCTCTGCACATTGTCGCATTTCAATATCACATATAATAGTCTGATTTGTTCTTGTTTAAGTAACCTTCTGAAAAGAAAAAGAAAATAAAATCATCATTTCGACTTAATTCTTCCAGTTGCAAGCGGTTTCAAGAAAAAACTTTGTGTAAATCACCTGAAAGAGCAAGCATTAAAAAAAATATTCAAATGCAGAAAGCAAGTATCTAGAAGAATCATTTTCTAGGTGTAAAGATAAAAATTCGATTGTACTGCAATGATTCGAGGAAGACAGATCCCTGAGACTAACCACCTCTGTTTCATTGAATCAGGCGCAGGAGATCCGTTTCAGAGATTGAGTCTTCAGTAAGCAAACATGAGTAAAGAGCTGCCTGGTGCTTCCGGTGGAGAAAGAGGAGGAGAAGGAGAAGGAGATGATGGGCGCAAGCAGCCATCGGTTGCGTTCTACAAGCTCTTCTCGTTTGCGGACCCTGTCGATATCATTCTAATGGCTGTGGGAACAATTTCAGCCATTGCAAATGGGCTCTCATTGCCCCTCATGATCGTCATATTTGGGCAGCTCATCAACTCCTTTGGAACATCCAACCAGAACAACGTGGTCCATGAAGTGTCCAAGGTCTCTCTCTCGTATTTGTTTTTTAAATGACTACCTTTTTTAAATGCTCTTTAGTTTACATGAATCAGAAAGTAACTCCAAGCCATTGTTTATTTGGGATCTCTTGACAATGTTATTTCGGAATTAGGCTTTGTGATATGATATTTGGAATTATGGGTGATTCTCTCTTTCCTTTTTCCAAACAATCACCACCTCTTCTTTTTTTTTTTGTAAACTGCATCTAGTTAAATCATGGACATGATTACTATGACTTAATTTCCATCCATTTTATTGTGTTGAAATTGCAATTTAGGTTTAACCAGATCCTTAGATTTAATGCAATTAAAGAATATGAACTCGGGGATTTTAAAATTATTTATTATAGTATTTCCTGATTTGGGTTTGTTTGCAATTTTCGTGTTCTGTTTCAACTGGTGCCTGTCAATATTGAAGCTCTATGGGTTCTTTATGTTCTGCAGGTTTCTCTCAACTTCCTGTATTTGGCTGTTGGGGCGGGTGCTGCATCCCTCTTACGTGAGTTCGCGTCTGTCTTTTATAACAGAATCTGGTTCTGCAAATTCCAAAGAACCAGAAACGAGATGGTTGACAGAATCTGGTTCTGCAAATTCCAAAGAACCAGAAATAGGCAATTATGTTTCTTCCGTGCATAATGAATTAGGGAAGAGTAAAACTTGTCTACAAGAAGCTGTGCGGTCTTCATCTGTCTCTTAGTTTCTGATTTGTATTTGTTTTGCAGAGGTGGCTTCTTGGATGATCACTGGAGAGAGACAGGCTGCTCGCATTAGGGGCTTGTACTTGAAGACAATACTAAGGCAGGATATTGCATTCTTCGACAAGGAAACCTCGACAGGGGAAGTTGTTGGGAGAATGTCTGGCGACACCATTCTCATTCAAGATGCCATGGGTGAAAAGGTGACAATTTTTTCCTTCTTAGAACTGTTTTGGCTATTCTTCCAAATCAAATTTAAGGTTACCACTGTTTTGAAGTGAGATAACAATCCTTCAAACACATTAGAGCAATAAGAACAACCACCACCCCCCCTCTCACTCTCTCTCTCTCACAAGTGGCTTGAAACCCATGCTTCCGTTAGGGTTAGTGCTGCAAGAATGAATGTTTGAACAGATTTTGTGACCTCTTTTTTTCATTTCCTTGAAGCTCGGAGTCCATCTTTGTGCTAACCTTTGTGTTCCAACTATTGCTTTAATTTTATATCAGGTTGGAAAGTTTCTACAACTTGTATCCACATTTTTTGGGGGCTTTGCTGTGGCATTTATCAGAGGTTGGCTTCTTGCATTAGTTATGCTGTCCTCTGTTCCTCTTGTGGTGGTTGCTGGTGGATTCATGACTGTCGTAATGTCAAGGATGGCAAACCGTGGACAAAAAGCTTATGCAGAAGCAGGCAACGTTGTAGAGCAGACAATCGGTGCTATTAGAACGGTATGCATCCTATTTTCTGCTACATATTGATGTCCTATATTTGATGAGATGACATTATTAGTCCATGGATCAAGCCTTTGGTAGATTCTTCACTAGTTGGTTTTTTCCTGCCACAATCAGGTTGTGTCATTTACTGGTGAGAAGAAAGCTATTGAGAAATACAAGAAATCTTTGAGAACCGCATATGTCGCCGCTGTTCATCAAGGAATGGCGGCAGGATTAGGCCTCGGTTCTGCGCTGTTGGTCTTATTTTCCAGTTATGCATTGGCTGTTTGGTATGGCTCTAAGTTGGTCCTTCATAAAGGTTATAATGGGGGACAAGTTATCACTGTAATGCTCGCCGTAATGACTGGGGGAATGTAAGTTCAATTTCAATGAAAATGCTCTCACTAAGGTCATACTTAAAATGTTTTTCTGAGAGAGAGAGAGAGAGAGAGAGGAGAGAGGGAGAGATTATATTCAGCTAATCGGCTACCTTGCATGTTGTATTGAAACAGGTCTCTGGGCCAGGCATCCCCTTGTTTGAACGCCTTTGCTGCAGGTCAAGCTGCCGCATACAAAATGTTTGAGACCATCAAGAGAAAGCCTGAAATTGATGCCTCTGACCCAAGTGGAATGGTGTTGGAGGATCTCAAGGGTGATATTGAACTGAGAGATGTGCACTTCTGCTACCCCGCAAGGCCTGATGTGCAAATATTCTCAGGCTTCTCACTCCACATACCATGTGGTCTTACTGTTGCTCTGGTTGGAGAGAGTGGAAGTGGAAAGTCGACTGTAGTCAGTCTAGTTGAGAGGTTTTATGATCCACAAGCTGGGGAGGTTCTCATAGATGGAATCAATCTCAAGAAGCTGAAGCTTGGATGGATCAGAGAGAAGATTGGGCTTGTAAGTCAAGAGCCTGTTTTATTTGCAACTACTATAAGAGAGAATATTGCGTATGGGAAAGCCGATGCTACACTTGAAGAAATCAAAGTGGCAACAGAGCTTGCAAATGCTGCTAAATTCATAGACAAGTTGCCTCTGGTAAATCCTCTGTTTCTTTTTTCTTATCTTTGCACGGTGGGGATCTCTCTCTTGGCTATTTCCTTCCTGCCATGTTCTTTTCTTTCCTAAATTTATGTTTGTACATGCTTAGTGGCTCTCTCTCTCTCTCGGGATGGTCATCTTCATAGCATCAACTTTCACTCTATTCTCTTGTACAAATCATGAATTACCTCAGAGACTTTACAGTTCAAAGGGTTTGGGTAGTGGATGGCCATCTTTATAGCTTCTATATTCACTCTATTCTCGTTACACAAATCATGAATCAACTCTAAGATCACAGTTTTAGGTTTTTGAACTCATTCTGTGAAACTTGCTTTTTCAAAAGAATAAATATTTTCCTTTTAGTCAGAAAGTAGAGCAAAACTTTGGGTTTCACGTTTCCTAGTATCATGCTATGCATTGGCTAATGATGTCAATTTATTTGGTATTATCTATGGTTGAAAATCAAAATGTGACAAAGTATCAGAAAATTAAGTCATGAATGTATCTTACAGGGACTTGAGACACATGTGGGTGAACATGGAACCCAAATGTCTGGTGGGCAAAAACAGAGGTTGGCTATTGCAAGAGCAATATTGAAGAACCCAAAGGTTTTGCTACTTGATGAAGCCACGAGTGCACTGGATGCTGAATCAGAGCAGATAGTTCAGGAGGCTTTGAACAGGATAATGGTTGACCGGACAACTGTTGTCGTTGCCCATCGGCTAAGTACTGTGAGGACTGCTGACATGATTGCAGTGGTGTACAGAGGAATGATAGTTGAAAAAGGTAATAAACATACTTCTACTTCTTAGTTTCTCTGACTTCAAAGTCAAAAAATAAAGCCTGTATCTATTTCTTAGTTTTTCTCACATCAAGATACAAATTAACATCAACCTGATGTCTATTTCTTAGTTTCTCACTTGAATATCAAAATTACCAAGAGTGAATGTTTGTTTCATTGTTTTTCTCTATTCCTGCTTTGCAGTTTGAACTAATATTTCGTAGTATCCATCACTTCAAGACCAAGTTTATGACCAACCCAGATCTATTTTTCTCTCTTCATCTCCTTTCAACTGTGAATAAGCTGAACATACTTTCCGTACTTATCCTGACTCATTTCTCATGTCCAATTTGCTTTAAATATCATAATTAAACAGCAACCATTTGTCTATTTTCCTGCAAATGCCATAAATTGATTTGGTACTTTACTAGGTCCTCACTCTGAGCTCGTCAAAGACCCCCAAGGACCATACTCCCAGCTTATCCGTCTACAAGAGGCTAATCAAGTAGAAGAGGATTCATCAGTAGATCCCAACAAAGTGGAATCTAGCTTGGATTTGGGTAAGTCATCTACCAGATCAGGAAGCCACAGGTTCTCTCTCAAGCGCTCGGTAAGCAGAGGCTCATCCAGTAGGGGAAGCAGCAGGCATTCCTTCTCTATTTCCCTTGGCTTGCCTGGAGCTGTCAGCTTTCATCAGGAAGCCAATGATGCGGTGGGTGGCAAAGGAGAAGGTGGATCTGAGCATGTTCAAGAGATAGGGAATGAGGTTCCAATCTTAAGGTTGGCATGCCTCAACAAGCCAGAGTTGCCAGTTATTTTCTTGGGTGCGATTGCTGCGGCAATCCATGGAGTTATCTTCCCTGTGTTTGGGGTATTAATTTCAAGTATTATCAAAACCTTCTATGAACCACCCCACAAGCTTCGTAAGGATATTAATTTCTGGTCCCTTATGTACGTGGGACTAGGAGTGGTTTCTTTGCTTGTGGCACCAGCACAGAATTACTTTTTCGGCATTGCCGGGGCTAAATTGGTCCAACGAATCCGAGCATTATCATTTGAGCATTTAGTTCAGCAGGAGATCAGCTGGTTTGATGAGCCTGAAAACTCAAGGTTCTCTCTCTCTCTCTCTCTC